TTATCGTTGCACAGGTACAAGCACTTGGGTTTTCAAATAATAGTATTTTATTAATTGATTCGCTCAGATACACGATATATACACTATGTCTACGATCTACGCTCTGTTACAGCTATTTATATGCCTTGCGACGCGTCTCTAAATCTATCGTCGCGTAATGCAAAATTACCAAACTTCTACAAACTTTGCGCCCATCAATCATGTATGATTGATGAATGACTGATGCCTCATGCGGCACCACGCCGGGCCCCACATGTCGCGTCATACCCCTACTATAATTTTTATACTAACACTCCCCCACGCCTATCTTATGACCTCCGGGCATAAGTATCCACCCATACTACCGGTTCTCGATATTGCTTCAAGATCTTGATATTAACGGGACTGGCTAATACTTGTCCATCCACGCTTATTTTTATGCCGATTGATTGGGATATTAGGTCATCTACCCCGGTCACTATATGATGGTTGCTTGCCGTTACTTGGGGTGGTGGAGTATCGGATGGTTGAATGGTGCCGGTTAGATCAATAGTACAGTCACTTTGTTGTGGTGTACTCGTTGGTCTTGATTCGGTGTTGCGTTCTCCGCCTTTCCGTGCTTCATCATGTGGTACGTCGCGATCCCTCCGATCATGGCGAATTGTTTGTTCGCTCACCCCTATATCTTTGATATGGTTGCTGGCATTAGACGGGCATACCGTCCCATCTATAGCTCCCATGTCTAATACCTTACGGCCTACGTTATTACTCATTGCTTTCGTTAATGCTAGCATATGTGCAATGCTAGTTGCTGCTTCGCGGTTCCATTTGTCTTCTCCGGAGTTTCGCAGTGCATCACGTGATATCTCGGGACCTCGGGGCATATTCATAGTATGTCGCTTCGTGGGACTGTCCAACTCCATATTTCTTTTAATTCGTCCAGTCCTAGTGGCATTAGCGGCTACACACGCGATGCTATTGGCTAGGACCATGGCATTCACTCTTATCCTTATCCCAACAGTGTTTAGTCTCCGTGTCATCAATCTTTCTGCGATCTTGTATCGGTGTTGAATCGTCAGCTGTTGGCACATTACAGGTTGGTTGCAGAATCTAATAGCTGTCAGGGCGCATGTTCGTTCCATCTTGATTGTGCTTGTTGTTGTTCTGTTGTTCAGGGTGTCGCTATTGCTGTTGAGGGCGTATCGCATCAATTTTGCGTGCTCAGATTTCAGGACGGTACTCCCGGTCACGTTGGTGAGGAGTTCCTTTACTGGACTCTTTGTCCAAACCGTCCTACAAACTATCATCATTGCGCGACGTACTAGTTTTGCGAAGATCTCGAAGTGGGTTTTCCCAAGCTTTCTTCTCAATTCGTAGCCGAATGTGTTTAACAGTTGCTGCCATGATGCCGTGATACTGCGCAGCTGGAACATCTCATCGCCCGATGCGTGCGTTTCCCAAGTAATTACTGACATCATTTCTCCCTTATCGATCCATTCTCTCACGGTTTGACTGTCCTTGTACAGCTTTCGCTTTATCAGGGCGCCATCCTAACATTGCACTATGGCGCACTCAGATTTTCAGGCGGTACTCTTGATCGCGTTCTCATGCTCGATCAGGA